AGTGAAAGCAATGAAGATTTTGTACGTTTTGAACCAAACTAAATAACAGTAAACCTTTTTTTGATTTACGGTGTTTTCTTATTTTGATGTTTTGAGCTCTTTTGTGTTTAGAACAATACATACTAATTTTTAAAGTATCAAATTGAATTTTCGTTCAATAAAAATCTTTCAAATGCGACTGTAGCTTTTTTTTCCCCAAAAAAAAACTTTGTGTTCAAAATAAGAACGCGTCTTACATTCCGAAAAATACGGTATATATATTACATGCAAATATTTATCTTGACAGACAAAGTATTTAGTATCGTGTTAAATGTATCGTCGTATTCGTGCAGACGTTGGTAAAATATTTCATTGAAGGAAAATCCAAAGTGACGTTAAGCTTCCACAAGAAAGAATTCAAACTTACTGAGTATTTATTTTTTTTTTCAGAGAGAAACTAGTTGTGTAAAGTTTTATTACTAAGAATTCAATCTAATTGAACACACAAATCATTTTGTTGGTGATAAAAATACACGAATCATGATTTGATATACTGATTGTGTGTTGACAATGAGTTTTATTAGTAGTAAATTGGAAAACTTAAGCATAAATATGACTTTGTGCAGACAGTTAAAAGTATACTTTTCTGATGTTCTTACTTATCAATATTAGGATGCATTGCTTCATCAATTGGGTACTCTTGCTGTTAACAATATTTTCGGCTATAATTCCAATAATACCTCAATTAGTTTGGTTACCTTGGGAGCAAAGAGTATTTTTGTACTAAATTCCACGTAAAGTGATCGAAACGTGGCCAAGAAATGGATAAAAATTCCTAAAATTATGCTTTTCTTTTTACCTTTTGACCACCTACAATGACCCAAAATGGGCATATCCGACATTTTTTTAAGTGTATGTATGGGACCTGTAGAAAAGTATTTTTGTACCAAATCCTATGTAAATTAGTCAAAATATGGCCGAGTAACTAACCAAAAAACCCAAAAATTATGCTAACCACCTGACCATGCCGGGCCATTTGTCAGCTTTGACTCTCTAAAAAGACTCAAATGGGAAAATCCAACTTTTTTATGTCTTTGTGTTAAATTGAATTAAATCTCAATTAGAAAAAATTAAAACGTGTCACGGCGTATTGGACCAAGGTACAACCCTACCAGCCCGGCATGGCCAGGTGGTTAAGGCGCTCGACTCGCAATCTGAGGGTCGCGGGTTCGAATCCCCGTCACACCAAACATGCTCGTCCTTTCAGCCGTGGGGACGTTATAATGTGACGGTCAATCCCACTATTCGTTGGCAAAAGAGTAGCCCAAGAGTTGGCGGTGGGTGGTGATGACTACCTGCCTTCCCTCTAGTCTTACACTGCTAAATTAGGGACGGCTAGCGCAGATAGCACTCGTGTAGCTTTGCGCGAAATTCAAAACAAACAAACAATCCTACCAAGTTTTAAGTCAATCCGTAAAAAGAAATGAATGGCGGTCGATTAAAAACTATTTGGAAAAAGAAGAAACAAAGAAAAAGAAATAATAGAAAATCAGTATGCGTCTCTCTGTGAAGACATAAAAATCTCAAACTTTTGTTTAGGCTGAGTATTGGAGCAACCCTCCATGCCTGTGATTGTTGCAGAATCAATGATACTTCATCCCTGCCCACTTTATGACATTTCACTTCTATGCTCATCAGTGCAGATCTTTCTGGTATGATTTTTATGCTCTGAAATGTCATTCTCAAATTCGCGACGTATCTACCATTGCATACCTCTAAGTATAAGCTACATCACTCTCTCAAAATTGCCTATGCATTACATAAGGCAAACTTCATGATGCACACAGTCCTTCACAAGTGCTGATAGCAATTTTAGATCTACTTTCATCATCAAGCGCTATTTACTAGTGACTAGAAGTCAGATCTAACGTATTGAGTCAATGGGACCCTTACATTACATCTAGACATTTGTCTATTTACAGCAAAGGAAGGGCATTGATTTATGTTGCCACATTCACTTGTTATGGTCCTTTGATGAGCCGTATTGGCGAGACGGTGTTAAAAATGTGCGTCACTTCTCACATCTAGCATGTCATCATTTGCCAGAATGAAATTTGTGTTAACTGGGCAAAGTGGTAGCTAATCTCAAGAGTGTCTTATAGGTCCAAATGAATAGTAAGTCCCAATTCACTAAAAACTCAACCTCATAGTCATGTATTGTCACCACTACATGCTATGTGATGCCAGGCCCATTTTTGACTGAGCCAGAAATCATAATGTTGGACACAAGATGAATGCTGTACACAACTGAGCTAATGGCCAGACTCAACTAGTTTAAACTAGCTAGAGGAACTGCAGCTGTAGCTTTCCATCAACCATCTTTTACTTGCTGAGACAATAGCTTGGGTGAATTCTATGTTCTGTATTTTATTCTCTAAACAAGGTATAGATAATCCTAAATCCAGAGACCTGTTAAGCCATAGTGAAAATAGAAATTCTGTCTCTCCAATTCTACGTGCCTTGGGGATGAAAACTTCTGATTAATAGATGGAGAAACATGGTAATAATACTAGGGAAGTCCTGTTAACCCATAGGGAACCATAGTAGCTGTGCTACGACACTTTTCAACGTCTGTGGTAATGAAACCATTAGTTTAAACTTCTGTAATGCTTTAAGGCAATCATAGTCCTCAGAGGTTTCTTCAGAGCCAAATTAGCCCATACAGTAGTCACTACTGTTGACCACTTTGAACAGTGTCCCCATACAAATACAGATGTTTATAATACAAATACGGACTTGCTTAACAACTTCTATATAAACTTAAACTAAGGATCCCATCATTATCCCTTTCCATGCAGTCTTTTGAGGTCACCTATAAAGTGGCCAAGTTCTCATGAGGCCCACTCCTTCCAGTTTGACATTCAGTTTTATGGATCTGTTGATGCTTTACAGGTGTGACTCAATGGAAATAAGAAAATTACACTTTGTTTAATTGTTTTCTTATTTCAAAATGATTTTAGGATTAAAGATGAATATGAAAATAAATTATACCAAGTTAGAGAAATATTCATATTTTTTCCCAAAATTATTTTATTTAATAGATTGAGTGAGAAAATTGTACATTCACCAGTTTTATAATGTGTTAGTCTGGCTCTGAGTCAATCTCAGTTTAGAACTCATACTCAGCATTAAATGCTACAGAATCTGCCCCTGAGTCCATCAATTCAATGGAAGAACATGCCTAAATATTTTAGGAATTAGATGAGATTTTATTTTGCCTTCTTTTTAAAAACTTGCTTCACATAATACTCATTGTGTAACAAACACTGGAAGTTACTTGCTACCAGAATCTTTACAATCGTGAACATGAGAAATCATCAGTGTCTGAGGGAAGCCTTATTCATCTTTTAAATGTCCATAGGGCCTGCATTCTGATTAATTCTGATTTATTCTTCAGATAAAATTCTCAGCATAATGCCATAATGCATAGGGTTACATAATATAATTGTATTCTTCATCGATCCCATGCATTAGATGTGGTCTCAGAACATTATCAGTGTACTTTGTTCAGGTGGAAGATTCCTGATTTCAGCAAGGAATCTGCAGAACACAATGTTGCAGCTCTTCCCGATCGACTTCACCTGTCATGTACATCAAGTCCCTCTTCTCAGTTATGAGTTACTCTAGCAAATATCTGGCAATGCCTGGGCTATCACAACTCACTAGAAACCTACAGATATTTTCCCAGATAGTTTTGGGATATCCAGATTAATCATCGGTTATTTTGGAGATAACCAGTAGATATTGAATTACAGCAGTCATGCCTTCCACATAACTGTCCAACAACTTCTCAGTCCCAAGAACAGTCAGGAATGGAGACATTTCTCTTACCATGACTGACAAAAGCCTTGTCTCACTCTCTTATAATTTTCACACTTAACTGAAGCTTCTTCCTCTTCACTGCCATTCTATGGTGTCCTAGAAAGTGCCCTACTATGATTCCGATTTACAAACTTAACAAAAATAAGTCCATGGCCAGGGGGGGGGGGGGGACTGTAAATTTGTCTTTGGAATTCAGAGTCAATGATATATGAGATGTAAGTATTAAGAAACACAGTAAATAGTAGATTTGTGAAATGTTTTGCAAAGAATGAAGTGACATAGAAAGCAAAGAAGGAACATAAGCACACGTGTAAAACAAAGTATAATGAACATATTCGTTCAAGCAAACAAATGAAGTACTGGGGTTTTACTATAGAAGGTTTTTTTAGGTTTTGATTACTGAAAGG